CGTCAAACCAAATGAAAGGTCATGCGCACTACGTAAGTTATGTTTAGCAGAATTGTAATCCCACATTTCAGGATAAGTAAGTGAATATTAGTATAAGACAGATAGTAAACCATGTACGTCGTGCTTCCGAAAGGTTGCGCATCTATTAAAATTGGAACGATACAGAGAAGATTAGCATGGCCCCTGACGCAAGGATGACACGCACAATCGTGAAGCGTTCCAAATTTTTCTTTTTCATTATTTTTTCATATTTTTGACTCCATCTAATTGAGATTTATCCGCTCCGAGCATTGATGGATGTCCCGGTACCTTACTCTTCTCCGCAATCTCAAAAATACTTGAAAGAAGTGCGAGGAAAATTTCTTTCTGGCTGTTATAATCGTATAAAACAATTAAGAATTACAAGCAGAAATTTTCACAGGCTTCAAACTTCGACATCTCGATGATTTCGTATGAATCTCTGCATAATATAAATTGGGCTACCTGTGTATTTCAAAGTTGGAAAAAATAAAGCAATTGGTCAAAAGTTGGAAAAAGCTACTTCGCATGGTACCAGCGCATTCTTCTCTGTTGTGTTCCAACTTTAAAAGTTAATATTTAACTGTTAATCAGCCAATCAAATTGGTTGTTTTAACAGTCGATCATAAGTACTTTGGAAGAAAGGTCACACTTAGCAAAGATGACCTACTCACGAAGCGTTCCAAATTTTCTTTTTAATATTTTGACTGTATCTATTTGAGATTTATCCGCTTCTAGTATTGAGGAGGTACCGGTACCTTTATAAGCCCGGCTCATACGTACAGGCAGCATCAAGCCTAACCAAATACATTCGGTACGACGTTGTTTCATGTCGAGCCAAATGGAGTTAAAACCATAAGAAAATATCCGAAAACACGCAATTTACATCCATATCATTCTCAAAAAAAGAAATTTTTGTGTGTTAAGTTTGAGGTCTCGAGCCGCGGTTTATTTGCTGAATTCGGCGCGACGCTAGCTCGATTTTACTGAACCGGGCCAATGTCAAAACTACTTCATAGAACGAGGAAAATTTCTTTCTGGCTGATATTATCAATTCAAACAATCACAGAATTACAAGCAAAAAAGAAATCATTGTTTTCACCGTCTTCAAACCTCGATATCTCGATGATTTCGTGTGAATCTATGCATGAAATTGGGCTACCTGTGTATTTCAAAGTTGGAACAAATAAACTACCCTTTGGTCAAAAGTTGGAAAAGAAAAGAATCTGATTGGTCGAGGTAGTATTCGCATGGCACCATTCACCAGCGCATTCTTCTCTGTTGTGTTCCAATTTTAAAAGTTAATATTTAACTGCGTATCAGCCAATCGAATTGGTTCTTTTACCAATTGTTCTCTACCTGACCAATCAAAATGTATGATGTTGATAGCTTTGTTTGGTCCATAAGCGTGGGTTTTTGTTGGACGTTGTTTGGACTTTGGGAAGCGTTTGAAGAAGAACGGAGAAGGCAAATGGCTTGTTATTGGTAAGTTTTTCCTATAAACATGTCAGTTTTAATGCTAAAAATCTCGAGAATTGGCCATTTGGAATAAATGTATTCGTTTTGCGAACCGAATTCCGTAATATTAGGATTTTATCGGCTTTTATTGGACATTTTTTTCGGTTAATGCATTTTCAGCTGTGTTTACCGACACGTGGTGAAATAAGCTTGTACCACGCGGAGTTCATAAAAAAAACTTTCATTACTTGTATTTCTAGTCTTCAAATTATGGCAAAGAACTGTTTTTACTTCAATTCGTTGCACAGTTGATGAAATAGTTTCGAGGAAACTCTATGAAAATCGCAAATATGCCAAAAATAGAATAATTTTCTTCCAAATTTCTCTTCCTAATTAAATCAAAACCGGTTTTCTTCTCGAAGTTTCAGAACAAATAGTATGTGACCACGAAATAAGATTTAAATTCTAGAATTTGCGACGTTTTTGAGTGTGACCATTACGTCATCAAAAGTTTCTAAGGACTCGAGCTGCTAAGCAATGTTCTGACAAATTTCAGTCCAATCTAAAGCTATTCGATGCTGGAAAAGCGATGTTTGATTTAACAGCAACAACAAAATGTTCGCCGGCCAATTCAACTTTGAATTACAACTCAATTAAGTTAACAATTTTTGATGATTTCATATAAATTTTCTTAAGCTCTTCGCAGAAAAGGGTTGAAAAAAAATTTTTTTAACAAACTTTTTGGCATCTTTCTTACATTCCAATGATTTGAATTAAAAGTGGTATTTCTGTGTGTTCATGTTATTCAATTTGAGTTATCAGTTTGTGTAGTGATGTTTATGTTAAAGTTTTTATAGTAATGTTCATGTTAAACAAATTGCCTTGCTTGACTACCTGGTTGTTAATGTATCTCAATCTCTGCTCCAATTCAACTTTCACTACTGTACCTCTTTGGCCTGTTTCTTCAACAGTTTGTTATTGAAATCCTTGCTGGAGGTTTTGCCTAAGGATGCAGAAGAGCAAACAAGCTCANAATATTACATAATTAATTGTCAAAACTACAATGCATAAAACTCGAAAACCAATTAATTTGGTGATCCCTACTATCATGACTAAAATAGTGAATTATAGATTATTTGCAGCAGGTTTCTTAGAAAGCACTAACTTAACCTGCTAGGTGCAGATATCGTGACAGAATGTTTTGCCAATTTCCTAATACTGCCACTTTATGTAATAAAATTAATAACTTTTTGTCTCCCTAAACAATTTTGATGAATTTTATGCCGTTACATTACCCTCACCTTAAGAGCAAAGCCTCCTGGCTGCAAAAAATTGAAAACGTACAATGCGTAATGGAGAAAAAAAACTGAGCACTTTCGTAGCTATCACGGGACGCAACCAAATCCAATACCGGATCAGGCTAATCAACAGGCCTCCAGGGGTTGCAAAAAAAAATCAAAAAAAAAATGTTCAGGATTATGAGCGTTCTGCCGCTGTTTGTAAAATGTCCAGTTTCTCGTCCAAGGAGAGTCCTCGAAGCGAAGGTGCATCCGTCAGATCCTTTACTTTTTCACCCAGGCGCTGTTGTAACATCCGCGCAATTGATGCGCCTTTGGTTGCGATGACTATAGGCTGAGACGTTCGTAGTCGTGCTTCCATGTAAAAAAAGCCAAACATGGCCTGAAGATAGTTCTGTGGGGCGCCCTCAGGTTCCCACATTAACCCATGTAAAGAGTTCTGAAATAGGTAGGTTTTCATCATTGCCGAGGTGGTCGGCGGTTCCACGCGAAAGTACTGTGTTTTCTGGAGCTGCAACTTACAATGTATAAATGAAGAAAGGGTCAAGGCTAATCAAAGGCCTCTGGGTGTTGCAATAAGAAATTAACAAACAAACAACAACAAAATGTCCAAAATTTATCTAGTCCAAAGAAATATGTAGTACTGACAGTACTACCTAGGTGTTATTGTAATTATAAGCATTAGCAAGAAAAATGCAAGTGAAAATTAATATGGAAATCATGATTCCACGGTGGTAATCTAGAAATAAAACAAAACAAACAAAGCTAAACTAAACATAAGTGAATAAAACTCATGGAATAATATAAGATTAAAATATTGATAAAAATAGTTAATGGAATTATATTAAAATTTTACTCGACATCAACTTGAGTGCTTGCGTTTGTTAAGCTGAGTACACATAAGCTATTATTAAGATAATATTATAGGTGTTTTTGAGAAACTAGGTGAAGTTGAAATACTAATTGATACAAAATAATAAAATATAAAATAATTTTAAATGTAATAAACTCAAATCATTTCATACTTCACCCTAGCATCCTAAGTCAAAAGTCAGTAACAGTGAGCATACAATACATGGTACAACAATCACGCAAAAAAAAAAACAAATATAACGTCACAAGAAAACTAAACGTTGGAGGGGAAAGGTCCCAACAGAGCGAAGCCCTGCCGACGGGCAACGCGGCGAGCTCGAGCCCATCGTTGCTCGGGCAGAGGACAGTAGTTTAATGTGCGAAACAGAACGGGCCATGAGCCCTCAGTGCCATTCGGGGTTGGAAGTGGCACGTTTGTCGGGAGGATGGGCCTCCCACACCCATGCTCGGGGCATTCCCGACCTCGCTGACACAAATGTTCTAACAAACAGGGTTCATGAACCCGGCTGCCACAGCAGGTGAGGGTGGCCGGGGTGTGCGGCATTTCCGCGAAAACAATTTTGTTACAGACAATACATGGCTCTATTGGAGTCGACATGATGATATTAAGCTGTGAAATCGAAAGAAGCAAACCAAA